GATTAGTCAACTGAACAATAGGGGTCAACCCCTTAACAAAGTATGTCTGGGTTTCCGGAATCTTTGAGTCCGCAGTGATAGCCTGTCTAGGCAGTGCCGTTCAGATCTCTTTATTTACCCTAGGCATACAAAGAATCTTACAGTTCTCAGGACGAAAGTATTTCTCGTCTATCAACTTGATACTACCATGATTGGATTTTACTGACATGGCAGTCTTAACAGCCTTAGAAAGTCCAGAAGAATATTTAGACCCAGTTTTCTTATCTGTATTTAATTTTGGCAAAATTATGATCAAACTGTTCAACAACAGGATGAGATACTCACTTAGAGGAGTCCTAAAGGCATCTGTAAACCCTAATGCAGGATCAAAAGAAGTATCAGCTGGAGCTGGACTATCACCAGCCCTAGCACAAACTCCAGAAGGAGGTACATGCACTGTATCATCAAAGTAGTCCAGATCAAAATCATGAACTGAATCTTCATTAAAGTTAGCCTCTAAGTCTAATTCTACCAGGTATTTTGACTGTTTCAGAAGAGGGTTTATTCAAACTACCTCTATTTTTCCTATTAAATTCATCATCTTTTATTTTATGAGCAACCAAGAGGTGTTGAAAATCATAGCCATCACCCTCATTAATGTCAACATCATTTTCATCATCTTGCAAAAGCAATACATCTGCATTATAAAATTCAGCCATTGTAATAAAATAATGTGTACCTGTACAGGTAAAACACGTGAAAATTCTGAAGAGTACACACGACTTTCAGGTAAAAAGAAAATACCTTTAAATATCTACATGTTCAACAAACAGGAGTAAATAAATAAAGTAAAAAATGTGCCATACAGCGTAGGCAAAATCTTTAATGAATAAACTTGTCATACATCGTAGACAAGAAATTTTTTATTCATTTCCATTAACTTTGTCATACATCGAAGACAAGAAATTTTTATCTCTAATTAACATCAGCACTTGTCTTTCATCATAAACAAGATACATGTAATTTAACGTTCAACCTTCCTAAATCTTAGATTAACAATGAAATAACTAAAAGGAATTCAAGTGAAGTGTTGTGTTCACTTCACACCCTCTAGAAAAATAAATGACAAAGTTATTATGGAACAGGTGCTTATATACTAGGGTCAAGGTCACTGGCCATCTATGATCTGATGGTTATAGCTTGTTTCTTTAAACAGAGATATTACATGTAAGCTTCATCCCTCACAGAGAAATAAAGTAATTCATTACTTCAGACCGAAAGGCGAAATACGAATAAGAATACTATTAGTATGTATACCGAGTCTTCCGTATAAGATTTTTTGCTATCGGAATTCGGACTGATGTTGAAATGCGTGGATGTTAGGTGTCACTTTTATACAAAGTACATGCAAGTTTATGTCCTCATTGATATGTTTGATGAGTCGATTTAATTTTGCACGGTTGTTTTTCATAATATATAAGTGTGCATTATTATTATTTCTTTTTAGAAAATTGTTTTACTTTGTGAAAGAAAAAAAAATAGTGTTAAAAAGTCTTCTTGCAGTGCTTGGATTGCAATTGATTTTTCTTAACTTTAGTTACGTTTTTCTTCTCAAAAGTGATTCTTAATTTTTTTTTGAACTACTTGTTGTATTTGAAATCGTAAAAAAGATTGTGGAAAAAAAACTGGTTTTGATAAACAATCCTCAACTTTGATATACATATCATTTTGTTATGTTTGCAACGAAACTTATATGTAAAAATGGTATGCTTTTGCGCATTTCTTTTTCAAGGTTAACTGTTTAGCATGTTTGGTGTGTATGTGTACTTGTTTATGATTTAAATATTGTGATAGGAGTAAGACACACAAAATATTGATTAATATTGATACAACCAAAACCATACATGTAAATTATTTCGAGAGATATTCTATGTACATATTAAGGACCCTTAAAATCCTCGCAATATGATTTATTTTGACACAAGGAATTAATTTGGAATGATAAGTTATTTGATCCTTCCTAATTTCATAATCAATTATCTATGTCTATCATACATGAGGTTTTTTTTGGGATTATCGAATATGTCCTATCATCTGTCGTACAACATATCGTAAACATACATTAGGGTAACGAAAAGCTCTGGTGTGTTTATCATCTCCTGGTGTACAAATCAGATTGTAAGAAAATAAAACTATTTATTGCGGTAAAATGAATTGCAATTAAACAATAAAAATTACCAATAACAAATGATAATATTAATGACAATTGATTGCATGATATGATAATTGTAAATAAAAACTATGAAATTACAGCTTAGATGAAGATACATTTCAAATATATAAAGAAAAAAAGGAATCGAACAGATTAAAATTAAACCATTACATTAAGAAATGAAAACTACATGTTATCAATTTCATGCGTCCGAAGCGCTTTTATGAATTTACCTTCTTCAAGATCACTTAAAGCCGAATATTTCAAAGCCAAGTATATGTAAGAACCGTAACATTTGAAAAGCCATATTATCAAAAAGGACATAAAAAAGAAGTTAAGTTAAATGAGAAATATCTTGCGTCTCCTATATAAAGACGGAGTGCGTCAATTACGTTTTTGCCGTAATAAACGTTGCTTATCAATTGCATGCATCCTGAGCGCTATTCTGGATCTACTTTCGTCGATAAGCTTAGGGTAAAAAGTTTGAAATCCAAAGATGTATAAGTACAAGCTAGAACACGTGAATATATTTTTGACCAGCAGGGATTGCTTTCTTTCTATGCAAATACCTGATCATTAATTTTCTTGGATGAAAGATAAAAACCCAATGAATTGCATGCATCCAAAGCGCTCTTCTGGATCTACCTTCGTCGATAAGCTTCGGGTAAAAAGTTTAAAATCAAAGGATGTATAAGCACAAGCTAGAACGCGTGATTAGCTTTTTGACCAGCAGGGATTGCTTTCTTTCTATGCAAATACCTGATCATTAATTTTTTTTGGATGAAAGATAAAAACCCATCGGTTACCCATGATGTTTGAAAACAATGCATTATCATTCTCGTTTGAATTGATTTATATGGAGCCTTTTATATATTGCTATGCCGTATTGTTTTGCTGATTGTTTAAAGCCGTACGATGACATATAGTTTATAAGTTCTATGCCATTTGGTCTCTAATGGAGAGCTGTCTCATTGGCAATCATACCCTATTCTATTACTTTTAAATAACCTAAATTTGTATTCCTGAATTAAGAAATATTCTGCGACAAAACCGCAGAAGAAACATTTTCGATACGGACTTTTACCCCCTGCACGTAATCCAACTAAATCTAGTAAAATATAGGGTACATTCATATATCATTGCAATGTAATCGACCTAAATATACTTGTAATATTTGCCGCTTGTCATTAAACAGCTATAACTCAGGCAATTTGTTTACGAGTTAAAGTCTTACTATGACTCATTGATAACAACAAGTACGAAATAAAATAGACGTGTGTTCTTAAAGATTGGGCAGTACTCAAACGACAATATTGTTATCAATAAACAGAGATAACAAAGATTTGCAAAATTTTACAAGATCAATAAGATCGGAGTAGGTTTAGTGTCCGGTTATGACCGTGGTTTTTTGAGTGAATCGGTTCATTTTTTTTCGAGTGTAGATCGTGTTTTTTCTCGAGTGATAAAACATGCGATAAGGTCAATTCGCTGCTATTTCGTTATTTTGATAGTTTGTTACATTACTACCCATCTTAATTTGAATATTATACATGTTTTGAGCAACAAAGAATCACAATTTTTTTGTATTTAACCAAAAAATTTAGTGTTTAATATTGTCTGGGGTTTTTCGAGAGGAAGAGTGAAACCGTCCGGGTTTTTAAACAAATGCTCCGGGTTTTTTTTTAAAGAAAATATGAATAAGAAAAAATGTATACTTGACTTTAAAAAAATTACTTTTTCTAGTTTATAACTATCATAAAGTGAAGAAAAATATCATATATTCCCAATAAATGGCCAAAACATATTACTACGTTGATGAAAATGAAACTTTTTCTCAATTTAATGCAAATTTTCTGTTCGGAAAACGTTCTACCACAAATTTCCAGTGTTAAATTAGAAATTACTGGATACTTTATAAAACGGTTTTTAGAACATAGTGCAGGGGACTTTATCTGAAATACTAATATACCTTGTATAACCTTGTATATTAAACTCAAGCTTCAATACTACGTCTTGTCAGAAAGGAAGTCTGTTTGTTTACATTTTTTATCAAATTTACCCGAAAAAAGTGGTCACACTCGACCAAAAAAAAAAACGATCGAATCACTCGAAAAACCACGATCCTAGCCGGACACTATACCTACCATGAAGATGTGATATAAGACAGCCACAAATGAGATTCCCAACATGGGACAGGAGCATGAATATGTTGCCGGTAATGAATCTGTGTTGCGTTTCGAAATTGCACTTGTGTTTTCAATTGTTCTGTGTTATGTTATTATTGAGGAACATTTAAGGTAGCACGGTAGTATTTGCATTCCGGAATTTAGGTTGCTCTTTTGTGTACCCTACTTAAGTCAATGTTTCTGAACAGTGTGATTGGACAACAAATACAGTATCAATTGAACATACTTTCATAAACTGAGGGATGAATCAGGTGTAGAAAAATATGAAATAATTTTACATACAGGTGAAATTGAATTTTTTAGAAAAATTTTTAATTTTGTATTCACTGCAGGATAAAAGACATAAAAGCACTAGTGGCCTAAGTTTTTAAAGAGACCAAAAAAACGTAAACAGTCATGATACATGTTCAAATTCATTTCTGAATAGTTAAATGAAAGTACTTCAGTTAACTGTGTATGTAGAATTTTTGCCAGTGTTAAAAGTGGTGAAAATTCTTAAAAGCTATCATTATTCCTTTATGGGCCAGGAAATACTACCGTGCCACCTGCAAAAATAAAAAATATATTTAATTTTCAAATGATATTATAAAATACTGCTACATTTCATATGAATATCATTACAGATGTGAAGAGGACTGTTGCAGAAAATAAAAAGTTAGCTATTGTAGAAAAAGATGCAGTGTACAGTTATTTTAAATCATCCACTTGGTTGAAAATGCATCATGCCAGAAAAAAGGAGGCTGAAAAAACCGGGTATTTTCTGTTGTTTTTAATTACTTCATATTGGCTTTTACATTATTGAGAAAACTGATAAACATTATTCTGTTGATTTCATCTATTTCAAGGTAAACTTAAGAAACAGTGGGTCATTTTATTTTAATGTGACTTTCTAAATTTAAAATGCAGGGTTTTTATAGTCCGAATAAAGGAGAAATGCAGATAGAATGCAAATTCATTTAACTTTATTGGACTTATTGTCAATTGCCAAAGAATAAATTTATCCCGTCTTTTAAGATGTAAGATGAAGGTAGAAAAAAAACGTTTTGCATGTGCTTTTTTCAGGCTTGTTGCTAGTTATGAAGAAGATTCGGATCTACGTGTGTAAGAGCAATTCTAACTTATTGTCGTCTGAAGTAGATATGATACAAATCAAATCTGGCAGGAAAGATGAAGTCTTCAAAACCAACACAATCTAGTGTAGTTATTACTGATATTGATTATATTTCACAGACAATTAATCAAAGATCATTCATAAATTTCTAAATATGCCATGTAGATTTCAGTTGAACATGAATTGATATAAAGACAAAATTGATGTTCAGTAGCTTGTTGACATGAATAATCATAGATATGTTCATATTTATTAATTGATTATTTACAAACTTTAAAATGCTATGGATTTTTTACTTGAGGAATAATAACCTTAGCTGTATTTTGAAAACCTTGAAATGTCGAAAATTGTGGTTCCACAATGCTTTTAAACTTCGTGCTTTATATGGCCTTTTTTGTTTTGTTATCTGATCGTCACCGATGAGTCTTCTGAAGACGAAACGCGCTTCTGACGTACAAAATTATAAGCCTGGAATCTTTAATGAGATAATTAATACTGGTCTTACTGCAAATTCACTATGATATAATTCACATTTGTTTCCAAGTCATTGCTATGGATTCATTATTATTCGTGGGATACCAAATATTTCGGGATTTTTCTTTGAATAACTTGTACTTAGGCGAGGTTAAGTAATTTGTGTAAGATGTTCGGACTCCTTGGTTTTTTCCTACGATACTGGGTAAAATGTTTTGCCGCATAACACCCACTGTCATACAAGTGAGAGGTTTAGCGCTATAAAACGAGGTTCAATCCACCATTTTCTACATTTGAAAATGTCTGTACCAAGTCAGGAATATGACAGTTGTTGTCCATTCGTTTGATGTGTTTTATCATTGATTTTGCCATTTGATTAGGGACTTTCCGTTTTGAATTTTTCTTCGGAGTTCAGTATTTTTGTGATTTTACTTTTCGCTTTTCATATAAGACTTCAATAGCTCATAAAAGCCCAAAATTTAAGCAGATTCTCGATTTCTTTTCTTCATTTTAAGACCAAAATAATACCAATGCAAGTATACGGTAAAAGTCACAGTCAGCCTTTTTCTGCCATCTTTTAAAACTCAAACGTTTTAAAAAAGAGCTCCATAACCTATCAATATCTTTAGTTTATTTTGTTCACTAACTAATACTCTTTCGACTTATAGTATCAATTTTAAATTCTTCATTTTTTTTATGTTCACCTTAGTATATCCTTAAAATGATAACTTGTAATTACTTAGAATATTACTTTAAACTACTAAGAATTATTACCTGGTTTACTGGAAATCCTTGGATTATTTTAAGTTCATCTTAACTTAAAGCTGTCAATTCATGTCATGTTTCTCTTATAAAAACTTTTATGCACTGAGCCTCGACAATATAGATACTTATACATTGTTATAGACCATAAAACCATTATGAATTTAAGTGTTGAATAGCTAGTTTTTTATTTGGTCATTGGAGAAGAAAAATCTGTCAATCTCAATAGGGTTTTATTTCGATTTTGGATAGCTGTGTATAAAAAAAGCAGAAACTCATTTCATGTTTTAATTTTAACAATTCTGAGTTGGTTGAAAGACGAGCAAGTTTAAATACTTTTTAGCAGGCAAAATAGGAAGTGAAAAATGAAGAGTATTGTAAAGGTAGTAATATTATTGGCCACAGTCTTGTGTGCTACATATATTTGAAATAAATAAACTTGTAGCACCAAAGAGTAGATTGGGAATAGCCAATATTGAACGTTACAGCAAATATTAATAAACATGCACTAAACCAAGTAAATATGGAATGATAAATTAAAACTTTTGAATGATATAATATTATAATGAAACAATAACAAATGTACCCTTCTCATTTCATTCAATACATGTTTTTATAAGCCAACGAAGTATATAGACGTTGGCTTGCGTCGTCAGTCAATATACTACTTCAGGTAAAAAATAATCATGTACATGATGTATTGGTAAACACATGTATTGACTTATACATGTTTCTGCTCTTTGGTGGGGTTGTTGTCTCTTTGACACATTTCCAATTTCCGTTCTCAATTTTATTGTATGAAAAGGTTATATTATAGATAATTACTTTGAATCACTTGGGTTCTTATTGTGTATTAATTACATTCACTTTGGTTATCATTGTAAAATATGTGTAGTATAGTATATGTATTACTGATGAATTCTTATAAAAATACTTGTAATTCCATATAATGAATATTTAAACATTATTTGCACTAACAATAATTAACCATTTCTAGGAAGTCCAAAAAAATATACTTGTAGTTACTTATTTTACTAGAAATTACTAAATTATAAATATTGATTGTTCACAATAATCAAAATGTATTACTTGAAATTATAATGAATTACTTGGGAATAAATTACTAGTTTTTACAATTTTTTGGGGTGAAAAATAGCTCAATGAATTAAGAGTGACTTTCAACAGATTAAATAGTCATAAAACTACGTATAAGATTCAGATGTGGAATATTACCTCTGAGGATAGAAACAGGACGATATATAGGTGAAAGACCAGCAGAAAGACTATGCAAATTTTGCACTGCAGACGTGACCAAAACTGAAACTCATTTTTTACTAGACTGTACATTCTATTCTGATATACGAGAACATGTTGATATTTATATTATAACGATAAGAAGTAAATTCAAACTAAAGTTATTTACGATGATACAATTGTGCTAAAACTGCACATATGTAAAGTTTATTCTAGACTTTTGATGTTCTGTTTAGTGTCCTGTTTTAGCAGGTTTTGTAACTTACAGTTGTTTAAGCAATACTGTGTAGGAGAATTTGCATTCAGAAGATGTTTTTGGAAAACAATTGTACGAAAATGGTTCAACAATCATAGCTTCCTACAAATTGTCAATTCCACAGACATAACAATATGATAAACTACGCAGGATGACAAACACCTCTTCTAAGTATGGAATGTTACTTGTAAACGATAAAGTATTATCATGAAAATATGATGACAAATATTCCCACAAATACGAAAGCAGTCTGTCATTGGGAACCAATGTTCAATCTATTAAATCGATAAGGAAAGGACAAATCAGGGTTGCAAACAAAAACTGAGGGAATTGCATAAACTCAAAAAGGGGCGAGACCAGTTGCGCGAATTCATACTCAGTCATAATGTCATTAGGGAGCGTGCGGTAAAACTGCAGATCATATGACTATACTAGTTTCCAAAGATATATGAACAAGAAAACATATTGATGTTGAGTTAAACATCAGCACATGGTACCGGTCAACAAATTCGAGTTAAAGACGGTATAACTTATGTGGTATGAATTTCGGCCAATCTTCGTCATAACTCTGTTGAAGCAGTTATGTGTTAGGAGTACACCCCTGTTAATGATTCTGTATAGTGTGAATATGCACAAGCGTAGCGTATTAACTGGGAAATGTAAACACCATTCGATTGAGCGGAGGGTATGTAAAATTATGAAGTGCGAACTGAATAGGTTTTATATCTAGTCGTCCCTGTAGCTAGGAAAATGTGATGAACATTTTCAACTCTGCTCTTTAATGTAGACGCAGTCATGGTTATCGTCATTATACATCACCTACTCTCCATGATGTCTCTTTCAATAACCTTCTGTCATTCTTCCAGAATCCGTCGGGTAATTAGTCATATGATGATTCTTCACTACTCCTTTTAGACATTTTTTTTCTATACAACTTATGTTTGGGGAACATGCACTGTTACAAATCTTCATGTACACCAATAAAAACTTACAGCTATCATTTATTAGACTGATATTGTCAGTCACAAACTGTTCAGATAGATTCGTATTGGAAAAGATGAAACTTAAAATATATCATTACTAAAACTTTACCAACAACGGTTTCGGTGCTATTAATTTAGGCATTATCCTTCATCATAAATCAGTTTAAAGATCAGTCTCTGTCTTTCTTCTCATGCATTTTGACCAAACCAACCGCAAAGGAAAGTTCCAATTAAAACCATATGAATCGCAATATTGACAACTTTTATGCAAGTCATTACCTCCTGAAAGTAACCGAGTAAGATCCTCATTCAAGTATTATCGTTCTAATTTTTGTTCATTTTTATATATGCATTGCGCTTGGCAATTTAAAAAGACCACGATTGAGTATTAAAATAGGTAAATCCTATTAGCATAAATATTTGGGATAAACTGTCTTCTCACGGAAACTGTGCCTCTTAGCTTATTTTTACGGTCTCTGTCGAACCTATTCAATGCTTGCCTATTATTGGCGAAGATGAATTTGGCTATTCTTTGATGTAAATTTCTATATGTCTGGATTTACAGTGATTAAGGGTTCTAGTATTGTATTATTTTTTTCGAATTTAAAAGAGAGATGTCCTGTCACTCAATAGCCCACATTTTCAATAAGTTCTTACATCTCATTTATCCCAAACCTAGTATTAGGGATATAATTCAAAGTGGAAGGTTTGCTTTTTACCTTGATATTTTCCTCACAGATGGACGACTGAAAAAAAATAAAACAAATGACAAACCTGGTGGTTTTAACTTTTCAATTGTTAACTGCACATTTATTGGCAGTAACACATTCATTGCTAAGTCGTATACGCTATGCTCGTGAATGTTCACACCATTCTATACACGTGAACAGGAGTGTGCTTCTAACAAAAAAATGCCCACAGAGTTTTGAGGGAAGAGGACTGAAATCGACACTATATAAGTATTACGGTTACCATCCCGAAGTGGTTGACCGATACGCTTTGTCGGTGTCTCAAATCTAGAAACATGTTTCGTTGTCCTTGAAATGCTAGATTAGGTTGTGTTATCTTCCTGATTGTGACAATTTTACTGAATGTGGATACGTATGGCGGATGATGCATAAAAAGTTGGAGAAACTCACCTGATCGACGCACCTGATCTCGCTTCTTTTGTAGTTTTCCTAGTTTAAGTAGTTTACCTTGATTTTTTTTTTACAATCGATTTACGAGATTTGAACATCTGAGACCAGTCCAGGTTTTTGGTAGGGTTCTTCTTACTCAGCCTTTAGTTTTCTATGTTGTGTTTTGTATACTGTTGTTTGTTTTATTGTCGTTTTTATATTTATTTTGTCATGGCATCGTCAGTTCGTTTTCGACTTTGAATGTCGCTTTGATATTTTCGTGTCTCTGTAAATTAATGTCGCCTTGATTTAACTTAAATCTCTTTGTAATGTGATATTTTTCGTGAAGTTTAATGGAACTTGGACGGAACATAAATCAAACTTATATATTGAGTTGGTTCAGCGTGAGAAAAATATTTCGACGGTACTACAAACAATTTAACTCTAACAACCCAGGCTTTTATTGGTCGTCTTCACCTTCAACATATTGAATGTCGCTTGAATTTTATTTGAATGTATTCAAAGCTGTGTTTGGTGTAGTTTGTAGCAAATTCAAGTCTATCGACTTTTACACGTAGTGACCCAATGGTTTAAAGAAAGACTTCAATTGTGTCTTCAAAGACTATCATCATATAAATTGTTCCTATCCTAACAAAATACAATAACTGTTCTGATATGACGAATACAATATTGAATGCAGGCATAATTAGTGGAAATATTGACTTTCTGATAAAATTGAGAATTGAGAGACAACAACCCGACCAACAGCCAAAAGCAACCAATGGGTCTTCAACACAGCGAGAAAATCCCACACCCGGAGGCGGGCTTCAGCTGGACCCTTATCAAAATGTGTACTAGTTCAGTGAAAATAGACGTCATACTTAACTCCAAAACATATAAATGAACTAAAATTAAAAATCAAACAAGACTAAAAAATGCTAACTTGGGACAGGAGCAAACGTGCAGCGGGGTTAAATATGTTTTGTGAGATCTCAACCCTTCCCCTATTCCTCTAGCCAATGTAGGAAAAGCAAACACACAGCCATAATGATAAATATCATAAATTTCTCCAGAACATACAAATTAAGGTAAAAACTGATGTAATCAAACAAAACTCTAATGGGAACGAAACCAGTTGTGTCGATAGTCAATAAGAATGAACGTTGCACATATAACTGTTAATTGTCATTCATCATTCACACAAAATAGTGGTACAAAATAAAACATGTATTTTCTTTTTGGAGGGGAATATTTCTTAATCTTCCACAATTTAGAAACAATAATCGGTAAAATATATACAATAAACTCATCATAGATACCAGGATTTAAATTTTGTACCTACGCCAGATGCGCGTTTCGTCTACAAAAGACTCATCAGTGACGCTCGAATCCAAAAAAGTTACAAGGCCAAATAGAGTACGAAGTTGAAGAGCATTGAGGACCAGAATTCCTAAAAGTTTTGCCAAATACATCTAAGGTAATCTATTCCTGAGGTAGAAAAGCCTTAGTATTTCAAAAATTCAACAAATTGTTATAGAATTTAATAACTTTAGATATTATATAAATGAATAATATATTTAATTCAAGTTTATATAAGTCAAGCATGAATTTCCACTTCGAAACACGTACATACTGTCATAAACTGCATCCACATTTAATGTATCTTTTGCATTCAGTTGCATACCGATAATTCCTGTTCCAATATGATGTATCTATAGAACTGCAGTTGGTAGGTCTGGCCTAACATTTACTGTGGTTATTTTCATTTCGTTCTTTCTGATTATAAAAAAGAGCGCCAAAAGAGATGCAAAAGATACCAGAGGGACATTCCAACTCATAATTTAAGAATAAACTGAAAACGCCATGGCTAAAAAAGAAAAATCACCGACAGAAAAACAGTAGTTCACAAAACACAACATAGAAAACTTAAGACTGAGCAACACGAACCCCACCAACAACTGAGGTGATCTCAGGTTGTCCGGAAGGGTATGTAGATCCTGCTTTACATGTGGCATCCGTCGTGTTGCTCATGTTAGTATAAACCCGGTAATAAATCAAATTCGGGAAAAGGGGGGACGGGGTTGTAGTTTCAACATTAGGAACATATCCTATCATCTGTGAAACGGATATACCATAACGGTCAACCAAATCGTGAGGGCGTCTGTAAACCTTACGAAGGGATGTTTTCAACTTCACCACTATGAACTCTTGGTTTAATAGCTTCCTTGTGAGCAGCAACCCTCTATCAAGGAAATCATGATAGGAAATTCAAGCCCGGGAATATCGTATCAACTGGGAGATATATACTCCATATGCAGAAGATGCTGGGATGTTGCTGCATAGAAATGGAAAGTTATCAAATGGGAAATCATCTCTTTTGTCGTAAAGTTTTGTTTTCAACCAACCCTCATTGCTAATTTCTAGATGTAAGTAAAGATATGAGGCAGACTTAACTGTATCTGTTGTATCCTTTATCTCAAGTTTGATGGGATATATACGTTCAACAAAGTCATACAATTTTGAATTAT